TTATATCAAAGAGTTCAAATGCACTTTAAACACCCAGGCAAATAGAGGCAGAAATGAGAGCTACAGAGTGTTAATTCATTGGTTAGCCTGTTACTGACAATGAAATAATACAAGAGGATTATATGTGAGCTTCAAACACAAATGAAAGTGGTATAATAGTGGGGACATTTGAACAATACTTACAAAATAAAAAAAATAAAAAACTCAACCAGTAAGCACTATTGGCACTATGACCCATGCTCTTGAATTGCCTTCCTGTATGTGCATAAAACCACAGTATTTATTATTCACACAAAAGAAAACCATACACATTTTTAAGCTTAACTAATCAAAAGGTTATCCATGCTTTGAATATTGACCAGATTACATATTAAATTTGTCTTTTCAATTCCGCATGTATTAAAAGCTTTGTTATCTTTGTACCTCATAAACTACATTTTCTAGCCTTTTTAAAGAGTTATCAAATTATTTTTTTTCATATCCACAAGAAAAGATTTTGATCTCATTTCCAACATAAGAAGCCAAATTATAAACCTCATTCAAATAGTTATGTGTCAAGATAAATAAGACTGAACTGAAAACAGAAAGTAACTAAAAGCAATGAAAATGAAACTCAAAACAACGTGCTGACAAACAAAAGAAACTGTTCTGACTGATGTTCAGACAGACATGTCTGGGTAGAATAAATATATATATGGCACAGAGTCCTTCAATAACCAAACAAAATTGAAAAATATGTTATTGGTAATTCTCATTTCATTACTTATTAAAGAAAAACAGTCTACATCTTTGGAACAGCTAAGAGAAAAGAGATTATTTTTTAAATTGTAGGTGAATGATAGAAGAGAGGGATGAGCAGGGAAGAAATAGACTTGTTTAAGTATAATGCAATTGCTTCATTCTGTCAAAACTTAGGTTGCACCGTACTCAGCACCATTATTTTGGGGCAGTAACAGCCACACTCCAAACAATATGATCAGGGCTCTACATTCAAAGCTGCCACAGCATTTTTCCATTTCCACATGCACAAAATTATCCTGCACTGTGTTGTCAAAAACAAATTTCGTAGGGAAATTTGTTATTATCTGTTTGAATTTATCAGTGACTTTCAAAAATCTAAAAAGTGCACTTAGTAAAATTGAGGGGGAAGTAAAAAAAATACAAACATCAACAAATGCAAAATATTACGAGAAATGCCATTGCATACATTAGTTTACCGGAAAACAAAAAACCAAACAAAAATTCCTTGAAGCCCACTTGTTTCACTCAGTTTTGACAAAGAAAATAATTTATAAAAAGCTAAATCCTTTTACTCTTACCATGCTGATGTTTTGGGCTTGACATCATCAATAATAGCTTTTACAACATCTAAAGTCGTTGCAGAGCCTCCGACATCCGGAGTGCGAATCTGTAAAGTCAACAGAAATAAAAGAGGATGAAGAAATAAACCACAAATATTTTTAAACTGGTAAAAGTAAATCTGAGCCCTGCATTAGAAACTTACTTGATCAATTGATCAATCTGATTGGTGGGGGGGGCAAATTCACATTAATCCCATTTTATCCTAACACTCATAGCAATAAAATAAATTGAAACAGGGCAAAGAAAGGAGCTGTTAGAGACTGCAACAACTGGAGAGGTATCATGTTGCTATCAGTTCCCAGCAAGATCCTGGCCAAGATTATTACTAATCGGATGTCGGATGCCGTGGACAGCTGCTTAAGAAAAGAACAGGCAGGATTCCGCAAAGAAAGAAGATGCACAGATCAGATATTTGCCCTCCGCAACATAATAGAACAGTGCATGGAATGGCAGAGACAACTTTATGTTAACTTCGTTGATTTCGAAAAAGCATTCGACAGTGTGCATAGAGAAAGTCTTTGGTACATTCTACGATCTTATGGAATCCTTTGCAAGATAGTGGAGGTCATAAAGAGCTTCTACCAAAACTTCAAGTGCGTTGTTGGAAACAGTACTACTGCTTTTGAGGTAAAGACAGGAGTTAGACAAGGATGCAACATGTCAGCAATTCTGTTCAACCTGGCCATTGACTGGGTCATGAGGAAAACAACAGAGGATAGCAAGAGGCATAAGGTGGACCCTCTTCTCCACCCTCGAGGATCTTGACTTTGCCAACGACCTTGCATTACTCTCCCATACCAACCAGCACATATAGGAAAAAACAAACCGACTCCACAAATATGGACGCTAGATTGGATTAAGAATAAGCCAGAAGAAGACAGAAGTGATGACACTCTGAAAGTAGGCTCCCCAACACTGATTAGGGTGAACAACGCAGACCTGGATATAACAGACACATTTACCTACTTAGGCAGCATAATCAAAACTGATGGCGGCTAAAAGGAAGACATCATGAACAGACTCGGCAAGGCAAGATCTGTACATAGAAGCATGATCAACATCTGGAAGTCAGGACAGTTTAGTATACGAACCAAGTTAAAGCTGTATAACGGCTGTGTACTATCCACACTCTTATATGGAGCTGAATGCAGGAGGGTGACTGATCATGACCGTGCCAAGCTATCTTCCTTTCATACAACCAGCTTACGCCAAATTCTCAGAATCTTCTGGCCCGACAAGATTTCCAACGCAGATCTGTTACGAAAATGTAGGCAAGAGGACATGACCACCATAATAAAAAGGAGAAGATGGAGATGGATTGGGCATGTTCTGAGAAGAGAACCAGACTCTATAGTGAAGACTGCCTTCCACTGGACACCCGAAGGATGTCGCAGAAGGGGCCGACCCAAAGTGACCTGGAGACGCACAGTAGAGTCTGAAATGAAGTCCTGGAATCATTCATGGGGGACGCTGACCAAGATGGCCCAAAACAGACAGAGCTGGAGATCCTTTGTTGCTGCCCTAAACGCCAGACGGCGTAATAACGGGTAGTAAGTAAGTAAGTAAAGCCAAGTTAAAAACAGAAATACAATTCAGGCAAAAAGGAACTTCTTCGGACAATCAACTCAGAAGGATACAGTGCCAGCTAAAGGTCTTCTTAACTAGCTTTATATTTTCCTTCATTTTTCAAAAGGCAAAAGAAAACAACATTACAAATACAGCTGTCCGTCAAAGCTCCCACGGAGATTTCCTTTACAAAGCACTGGCTCTGAAGGCGTAGCAATTCTAGTTCTGTCTTTCATTTTGCATCCCTTAATTGAGGGGGGTTAAAGGGGTTTGGCTTCTACTCAGACACATTACCTATGGAGTTGCCACAGTATGCCATGTTGCATGGGCATGAGTATGACCCGCCAAAGCACAGTTTTTGGTTCATATTCATAAGTGCATGCAGCCTGGTGTGACCAGTCCATAGGCTAAACAGTGTGACCAGTGCCCATGTTTTAAGCCTGCAGTAGTTGACAAACTGGTTATGGTCAGGGCTCTGTTGCTTATATTGTTTCCCGAAAGTCAACTTCACCAGTGCATTTTCACCAGTAAGGCTTTCCTTCCACCTCTGCCAATTTCTTACAATTTTTTCCTTACTGTGGTCTCTACACTGAGGTGCTACCCACTGAAGGGTAAGGGGAGCCTGAGTAGTAAAGGTCTGCCATGTTAGTCTTCTATTCATTTGAGGTTTTTTTCCTTCAGATTTTGAAGAGCAACGAATGCAAAGAGAGCATCTGTGAAAATGAGAACCTTTGTCTTCATTTTGTATATTTGTTGTCTTTCACTGCTGTTCTGATTGCTTCTGCCTTCCCACTACTCCCCACTACAGTTAATTCAGTACTTTCACAGACTGAAGAAATTATTTTTAGAACTTCCAATAATACAGCCTGCCTTTTCTCTCCCTGTCAAAAAACAATGTTTCCATTTCAAACCAAAGCAAAACATTTGAATAACTCGTCTTATAACCCCTTCCATAGAAAAAAGAATAGGCACTCAATCCATCATCCCAGTAAAGAAAAAGTAGCAACTATCAGAGTGACCTTCACACAACATGTTTCAGAACTCATAATAGGAACTTTTCATTACAGGACCCCCCCCCCCCCCCCCCCCGAAAACAATAGAAAAAAAACAGAACTCCAACCATGATTTTTGTCCATTACTTTACATTTTTTTAGCACAACTAGGTTACAGGAGAAGCCAGCCTCATTGCTGCCCGTTCTTAGGTGTGCTTCTCATAAAAACCTCTTGCTGAGGACCATCAAGGCTGGTGGTTTCTTAAACAAGGGCAGGGTAGGCTGAGGCAGGACTATGTCCAGCAAAAATGCAAATGTATGGACACACCACATACAGACGAGTACTTACCTCCAGTTGTTTGATTTCGTGATGACACCAGTATAACAATTTCAAGATTACAAGCAAGTTTGATCCCACTCTTTGTGCTCCCCCCCCTCCCCCAAAGTTTTACCCTACTCTTTTGTCAGAGCCTAGCAGGAGGGTAAGCCAGAGAAATGTTAAAGATGGACATCATTTTGCGTTTAAACTTCCAACATTCAACATAGCCATCAAGTTTGCAATGAACGGGGAAACAGAGACTAGTGTAAACAGCAAACTTGATCTTCATGAACATAAAAAAACCCTCATTAAGGTTGAGGAATTCTACACAAGATCGACAAACCTGTTTCTCTGACAGCACTGTCATGACCGAGTCTCTGATCATTTTAGCGTGGGCCTCATGCCTGTTCAAAGAAAGACAAAACAACAGTTACCGATATGGAAAAATATCGTTAAAATGATAAGGTGCATTAAAGAATGAGGACATCTTTTCACACAGTACAAAACAAATATATCTTTGTTACTGGACAGAAAAAGAGATACAATTACCGTACATGATCATCATTCACAACTTCAGAGAACCAGAGGTGCCAATTGACTACAAACAATAATCCTGAGCATTTTGGACCTATACACAGTGACTCGGAATTTACAGATCATAATATTGTCAAATACATCTTCTATCTAGACTACTGTTATTCTATTGGGCTATATTTGGGTAAATTCCAGACAATTTCAGAAATCCAGATATCTGGATTTTTCAGGATAATCAGCACCTCTGGAGAACAAATAACCTCAAAAGGGAACCACGAGTACATTAAAAAAAATGCACCAACCACCTCACGACTTTATAGATGAGTTCAAAAAGAGATTCCAGAAGATTCTACACCACACTATCACTACTCACCCTAAGTACTCTAGCATATCACAGCTAGCAAACAGAATTCCTGTTGGGTTGGCAATATTTTTGCCCTTCATCGAACGTCCTGAATTACGAGTGCCCTGTAGAAAGTAAAATCACAAAAATGTACATTTTATATAACATATAATGAACACACTACAAGTGATTAAAAAAGCAAAAAATATTCAAAATATGTGTGTGCGCCAAGAGAAAGCTACTAAAAGTCGCTCCAGACCATTTCGAGCTACAGGCTGATTATGATGCAAATCACTTGTTTAACCAAAATGTGTTTCCATTAGAAAATGATAGATCAACCATTTCTTTACAATGTGCTCAAAGAGTTTTTATTGATTTAACTTCTAAATATTTTATTTTGAATTATTTTGAGGGTAGGGTATAATAAAAACAAATTTAAAAAACTGCTTTTAAAAGGTGTTAAAATCTATTCTAGAAACACTTTTTTCTTCCCCTGCTATGTTTTACCATTGAAATCCATTCCTTATATTGATGTCAACTGAAAGCCAAATTGGAAATGAATTTTCGGTTAGTCGTTTTTTAAAAAGTTTGTATGTGTTTTCACATGTCAAACTTTAATGCTCATTTTCTCAAAATTATATTTTTATACCATACGTCGCAAAATGCTGCAATATCTCAAAAACTACTTGAAATATCCCCAAAAAAATTAAAAAACCCTGTGATTAGCTTTGAATTTCCTATAAGGTACAACCCTTAACTCAAACTGGTGAAAATCCGACTTTTTTTACCTTTCTTGAGGCACACACACATATTTTAAATTAGATGGCATCATGGATTTGCTCACCAGGGACAAAGTAAGAAAAGAAGAAGGGAGGGGGCAGTTCAGTACCTTTGAAAGGAATGAAGAGGGTGAGAAAGAATGAGAATTGGACCTAGTCAGGTGCTAAGGATCAAGAGAGAGGAGTTGACAAGGAATGAGAGGAAGGAAACTACGATGCCCTGTGCTCTGGATAAGGAAGACAAATGAAATAGATAAGATCAAGCCGTGTGAAAGAACATCAAACAAAAAGGGCGAACGCATGAAAACAAGAAGGGGAAGTAGGGAGGAACAAGGAAAGAAGAAGTGTACTGTCAGTTTTGTAATTAAATTATTTACTTTGCAAAGTTGCCTTATCATTATCTGTTTGCTTAGCACACTTTTTATAACCTGTTCTAAGTAAAGAATAAGAAATGTCTGCAATGAAGAAAAAATTCCCAACTCACTACAGCATAGTTGGTAAAATTAAATTTTGCAAAAGTCTGACTAAAACAACTTCTCCAAAACAAAATAAAATAAAATACAGGTATCTTTTACAAACTATCAGTCACATTAGAAAAAGGTTTCCTTTCGTCCTTCAGTAGAGGATCTCTATTGCATCAAATGCTTGAACGGCACTGGTACTCTCACTGACAGTATACTTGGCAAACTCGCCTGGCAATAGAAACTTTGTAGATGTCGTTTCTTGGAGTGGGGAAGGTGTGGCGGGGGGACACTTTAGTCCAAAAACCTCTAATCCAAACTCACCGATTCAAAGACAGCGTAGTTGTCTCCAATGTTCATACCAGCAGTGACTCCAGCACCACCAATCAACCCAGCAGCAATGTTGCTCAAGATGTTGCCATACAGGTTGGGCATGCACAGAACATCGAATTGGCTCGGCCGGGACACCATCTGATAGGGTAACAAACAATTCATTACTTGCAAAAGCTGGGAGGGGAACAAATCTTTTAAAAAACTCTGATTAGCAGTTGGGGTATGCTCTGCTAGGTTGAAAACATTCAGACAAAGGGACTGAACAAATTGTAGGGAAACATTAAACAAATTAGTTTAAAATAAGTTAAAGCTTTCTTATGAACTTTTCTACATTTTTGGAAAAAAACAACAACAACAACAACAAAAAACAAATCAATCAGTACGAAATATTCACTTGAGTTGCATTAATAATAATGCTGATCATTTCTCTCGCATCCACTCCTGCACAACACAGTACTGACACAGCTTCATATGTTGCACAATTGTTGCACTGAATTGTGGAAATCAGATACGGACATTTTTTTGGCTTGATATTGTTTGATATCTTATGAGACAAAAATAAGTAACTTAAAAGGCAGGATACTTCACCAAAAGGGAAAATTTAAACAAGACAGGAAAGAAAGCAGCAAAAATGCACTAAAATAAAACTACACAGCATCACACACATACATATGAGCATAAATGTTGAGGAGTTTTGTTCTGTCATAATAAGGGTTGCACCTTCTCCTTGAGTGGAACAGGTCTACACAACATCCCTATGACTAGGTGATCTACTGATGAAGTAACCAGGGGGAAAAAAAAAAAAGAGCCTTTCCATCAGCATCTTAAAAATTTTAAGTGTTGAAAGGGGCATTAAATCTGTACAATATCCTATAGCTAAAAACAAAAAAGACAAAGATTAAGTACACCCAAAGGGAAAAAATGAACATTGATCAATTGGACGTGTGAAAAAAAGAAGAAGAAAGTTCTACTCAGTGGTATGAGACAGAAGGGTAATGTACCGTCTAAGTATAAGAAAGTTAGACCACATCAAAACATCTTGAGGGATGACATACGCAAAAAACCCTCTCTAAAATAATAGCCATAGCACTTTGAGGCTTTACCTGCATACTGGCATTGTCAATGATGAGATCATTAAATTCAATATCAGGATATTCTCTTGCAACCTCTTTGCAGCACTGTAAAAACAATCCATCCCCGAGTTTCCTGCAAAGAGAATTTGAGGGGGAGAGAGTTGAAGAGGACCACATTAACATAATTGCATGCACATTAAAACGCTGATGAAAGCAAGATTAGATGCAGACTCTGGGGGGGGGGGGGGATAACTTCTGACCAACAGAAAGAGAGCAAACAATAAAAATGTTAAACAAGGCCTGTTCTCATATTTGTAAGACTTTCTACAACCAAACAAAGTAAACATTCTGAGTACATATGAAAACACAACAAAAACTGTTTACTTCCAACAGAGAAAAAATGATAAATTATGGAATACCTTATAAACACTATTCTCTTTATGAGACAAGTTTCTAAAACAACTTACTGCCAAGAGTTATCATAAATATCTGAACTTAACCAAGAAGATACGGGGGCAAATAGGGATTTTTTGACACGGAATACCAACAGGCCAACACTATGGGTTTTTTTTAAACGGACAGAGTTGATATGATGAGGTGGCAAGTACAGGCATCTCGGAAAGTACCAAAAAATATGGAGGATTAGAAGCACTATTTATACAATCTGTAAAGAAACAGGCAATTGGAAAAAAAATTGAAATAACAGATTTTGAGGATTTTTTCATCCAAGTTAAAAAATTTATAGTCAACAAACTTCTCTAAATTAACATGCAGAGCACAACTGCTGTCAACTTCTGCAAGCAATGTCTTATTTTCTCACATGATGTTGGCTTTGTGGATTGCTGTGACCTTTTTCCTGTTGTACTCGGTGGCATAGTCAAATGCAAACCGAGCTATCTTCTTGCTCTTCTCGGCCGTGATGATTTTCAAGCTTTCAACGACACCCCCAACATTCTGAAATAAAATAATAAAAAAGAATCCCAGACATTGTCAATAAAGAATGTTTCAAAGAAAACTGGTTTTGAAAAAGTAATTAATGAATCTACATTGTTTAACATGGCACTTGGGGGTACTTGGGGCAAGCCCAGAATAAAAAAACACTTTATCTCTCATGCAAGAAGCCCGAATCTCTATACCCACATGGAGAAGATATTCAATAAAGTATCTCCATCTTTCTTCAAAGACATGGCATCCCTTTCAGCCCAGATGGCCCTGACACGCACGGTTGAAGCGGCTCACCTCCTTAATGATATACAAATTGTGTAGATCACGGTGTAAAACATGTGTAAGCTATCAACCAACCTCATGCTCCAATTGCCTGTACTCTCCTTCTGTGTTCTCTCTGATGAGCACACAGTCTACGTCCCCATGCCTCATTTTCAGGCCAGGAATGGACTTGCATTTGACCACACTGGCAAAGAGGTTAAGGGATGTCCTGTTGACAAATAAAGAATACAATCACTACTAGGAAACCCCAAATATAAAATAATAGTTACTCATATATGCAGCCCAAAATAAAAGAAGACAGATTTACACATATTCAGACATACACAAAAATAGAAATACCCACGAGCAGCCCAAATATTACAAAGTAGTTATCTGCTACGAGACCACAGAACTATTCAGTTCTGACACAAAAGCTGAGAGTTTTCAGTTGGAAGCCCTAACACAAAAAAAGACAACTAAGTGTTTGAAACCACAACATAAAGGATACATGATACATTCATCAGCTGCAAAAAACCCCCACAAAAAATAGTATGTGTCTACAGACTCCGCACTGTAATACTTGCAACACATTACCTTAGTATGTAACAGATTAACTCTTTTCCTACCAGGCCAAAATCCACCACTAGCCCAGGGCTTTTCCCTGACCTATTTTTACGCCCCTACCCCGCCAAAGGAAAATGTCAAAATATCCGATTAAACACACACAAACCATATCTTATGGCCCATCAAACTGAAGGTTAAAAATTAATCTATCAAATGGCGATACAATATTGAAGATTTATTTCAATTACATTACTTTGGGGTTTCTAAAAGTGATTATGCAATATCGAAGGTGTCATATGAAATCAACAATTGTCCAGCTTTGAAAGGTAATACCTAAAAAAGTACAACAGCATCATTCAAACTTCCCAAGTAGGTTGCCTCAAGTAATGCGAAGAAATGCTGAAAATTATGTATGTGTACCTAATATAGAAGAGAAAATATGAAACATATACTGAAGTCAGGGGAGCGCTTTTTTCCTCATATTTAAGTTTCGGAGGGGACAAAAAAAAGCGCTAAAATGACTAAAAATCGTCTCTCAGTGCTATATTTTCTTCCGTATCTGCTAACAGGAAGATTATTCTATTATTCTGAAAACGTGGATCGGCCGAGAATTTCGTGTCTTTTCATTACTGGATTGGAATAGATAGCAAGCCACTCGAGCCGTATTTTGCGGCTCTCGGTACAGCGAGGCCAGGTCCGCGAGCCGCATTTTGCGGCTCATGGTAGGGAAAGTGTTAATTAAATTAGTTCACCAAACAATGACTAGATCAAATAAAATCAGATGACAGAAAAAGGGTAGATAAAAGAAAGCTGTATTAGTCATAAGGTGTCATACTCAAAGCACAGTGCATCTTCATGGAACATTGAACAAAAGCAACATCTCACCTCAAAGCAACATTCATTGATTTGAAGGAGGGATCATCAAACTTGGTTTCAATGTTTCCTGAGGAAAATAAGGAAAATGATAACTGTTGAACATAACAAGGAGAATAAAATATCAAGATTGTACTGAAGAGAATGCCATTACAATAAAATTCCACAATTTTGATTAGTGGTGACAGGCTCTTACCCCATACGCAAATGATGTAGGTTTGACTCCCATCTGAGGAACACATTTTATGTAGCAAAAAAACGGACAAATTTACAACATCAGTTGACATTACTTTTCTGCTGCCCGATTTTTGAAATGCCACATATAGTACATCAGAGTAGAACCACCCCCCCCCCCAAAACATATGACAGAACACTACTTACTACTAAGATGGCTGTTGCTCTTATTGTTATCTTCCCTCACATATTAACAGAGATCAGTGATAAAAGTAAGAAAAACCATTGTACACTTCTTAAAATATAACACGTTGTAGTAATGTGAATGTTCCAGTTACACACAACACCTATCAAGAACAACTTGACAGTCTGCATTAAAATACCCGTGCAGCGACTTCACTATAAAAACAATTTAAAACACAAAGTCTTTGGCCAATATAAGAAGGGCCCATTAAACACTATGGCCTTCCAGGAAACGGGACAAAAGAGTGGATACCAAAATGGCCAACTGTGGTGAAGTACCATAGTAGGGTTAATCATACCTTTGAGAGAAACTCCATTCCTGCGCACTGAAAGCAACGCATTCTGCATGTCATCCGGCGTGTTTGTGGATGCGTTAATTTCAACAATCTCAAAGTCAATGGGAGCACCAGCATACCTGTTTTGGGTTTGTTTTAGGTTTTTTTTTTCATTGAGAGAGAAAATCATGACAGAAAGAAGGGGTTATTCACCAGCACCAGCACCTTCTCAATAGATCTATATCTCTGAGTACCAAATAAGTACAGAAAAAATACAATTCTAGCAAAAATGAATGCTTTTATTTCTCAAACCTAACTGTAAATACATCATTTGGACCAACAAAAAAAGGCTGAAAACTATATTAAAAAGACCACCTGTAAAAGAAGATTCCATCCCTGGGCAAGGAAAAAAGTTTGTATAACAGAGATAAAGCTGATGAACTTTAAAAAATTGAATTGCTGAGGTCCATCCATCATACTGGGATGGAAGTATACTTCAAAGACAATATCCTTAAAATCAATAATAAGAATTTGCGCTAACCTTTTATGAGTGGGATCTCTCTAGCTTGAAACAATTTTTTATTATAGTTAAGTTACAAATCTATAATACTATTATTTTTCATAAATACATACGTCATTCTCGTTTACTTTAAAAATGGAACATTTCCCAATTTCACTACTTTTCCTGGCTCTGACTTTTTCATCATGACCAAATCCTTTTTTGTTTCTGTAGGCAGTTTCTATCAATTTTTTATAGTGTGGTTCATATTGAAAGAAAAGAAATATATAATTCAACAACGACTAAAACAAAACTTAATTTCAGTACTACACTGAAAAAAGGAAATAACTATTTTGTAATATACAAAACAGAGATCATTGACTTACCTGAAGATTTCTTGAACATGGGACAGCAGTTCAGGACCAACACCATCTCCAGTCATTAATGTAACTGTGTGTCTTCCACCGTACTTTGCACATGCTTCAGCCTGCAAATAATCATACACTATACTATATCAAATATAATTTTTTCATCCAGTTGCCACTAAATTGCAACACATTGATCACACCCGAGATTGAACCTTTAGTGAATGGTTAACATGAACTAGAATATCTGCTGAATTCTAGTAATGTCCCCTGATTAACTCAAGCCAACAAAACGGTGCTCTCAATTTTAAAGTAAAGGGAAAAAAGTTTAATTTTTCATTGTTCAATCATGCACGTTTTCCATTTACCAAAAAACAACATTCACACTCACCTCTGATGAAAAAAAATTGGCTTACTAATACTATGGTGAATCCATGTCAATGTATTCTTTGAATGCATACCTTCAATAACCAATAGATCTAGGACCCCATGAATGATTCCATCAGACGATTATTATTGTAAAAGGTGTTATAATAGAAGGTTTTACGGCGCTCGCAACTGCATAAGGTCATATGAGCGCCAAGGGGTGGGTGCCAACAGAGAAGTCCTTCCAGGGAATCAGGCTTACTCTGCTCACCTCTCTAGCTTCAACAGCACAAGGTCTGCTTCGACTATCAAGGCACCCCGGAAATATAAGGTCACAAGAGAGTGACAAACATACAAAAGAAGTAGAGGAAAATGACAATAGTAAGGATTAAGAAAGAAAAAGCAGCGGTTCCCTGTTGTAGATCTGGCACAGTTATGAGCATGACATGAATCAGCCCATTTACAATTCTGCTGTGCTTGAACGAGAAATGTCCCCCCTTTGGGAATGGCCTAAAGACACTACAGTCAGTGGCATTGCCTCGGGGGGTGTAAAAAGTGTGTTCACAAACAGAGTACCAATTGACAAGAACAAAAAGTACAAAAAGAAGGTAATTGTGACAAACAAGAGGAGAGGTTTAAAAGGAGCAATATAGGAAGGTAGAACAGAGTTATCTCAAATAGCCAGCAGCATTTTCTGCTTATCATCCTTCTTCAATTGATCAGTAGTAGGACATGATAAATAAATCAACAACATCCATCATTCAAGAAATGAAAATGAGTATAAAAGGGCAGGACTAGCTCAGAACAGCCACAGCACAAAGGTAACAAGCTGAGCATTAACTTCATCAAAACAAACCTCCAGCAGTATACACACTCTGCACCGCTAAAAAATATTTTTTTAAGTTGCTTTTTAAAAACACAATAGAACAGTACTCAGCTCAGTTCCTCTTGCAAGTCAGTAGTCATAAAAAATAAAATCTCTAAAAAAATAACAACCAAAAACATTCTTCCATTTTCAATAATTTTGAATGTGAAAAAAAAATCCAACATTTGTAGAAGCATGTGTAGGAGCATACCGCAAAAAAATTCTGGGCAAACATGCAAAAATGCATCCTGTCAATTTCTGAACACAAAAAAATTAAAATGCACTTTCTTGACTTTATTAAATAATATAACAATATATCTGAAACCTTTGTAGTGCCTTACCAAATGAAAGTGACAGCTATGTGATATACATATTATTTTGTAAAAAGACTAAACACGAAAGACTGGTTTTATCCTTTGCTACAAGGACACATACAGCATTAAGACCTTGGAATTAATCATAGATTATATTCTTTCAAGCATTAGTTGAAATTATATTCCCTAGTGGAAAATATATTTCATTACAGTATTTAAGAAGTATCAACATTGCAGACAGTCCAGGCTGGCAAATCAGAAAGCTTGTCCCTAAATTATCTACATTTGACAATTCGATTATGTTGATATATTCTCAGGGTGGAGAGGTCACATTTATTTATGCTACATTAAAGTATTTGCTTCATGACTGAGAAAATTAATAAAAGTTATTCCTCATGAATAATGTATTGGTAAGCCATGGAAAAGTCTAAGCAGTGAAAGAGAGGAGCTCAGCAACGAAGAATGCTTTTTAAAATATTTCTTTGAACACCTCTATTCTTATCATGAAAAAAAAATCTCATAATGGAGGGATGTTACAAAGTTCTACTTGAAAGCATGGTAACAAAGCACATAGAGGTATATTTTACTTATCAAAAGCCGAAGAAGACTGATGAAGCACAAACCTGTCTCTGTGTTATCACATATGATCTTCTTTGGAGCTTTTCACAAGGGACTGCCAATAAGCCTCCTTCTGCTTGTACTGAGGTCTGTATTGTAAGGCAAGTCATGGGCCAGTCGTAGTCATGTTATGAATGAAAATTCAAGTGTTAGCATTATTTTAAAAAAGTAAACAGATGGTTAAAAGAATAACATAGATATAGAATAAAATGTCAAATCAAAGTAAAAACTTGAAAAAAAAAAATCAGTCTTGTTTAGTTGGGTAAGACAAAAACTTTTCAACAAAGACAATAGCACAACAGGTAAAAAAAAGTTAACAAAATAAAATAGCATTATTGTCCCATAAAATACTTTTCCCTCACGCAGTCATCAATCACCACAGCAAATCTCCAACTTCTTATGGAACAGTGAAAGAAGAAAAGCAGAATACATGCACATTCTATCCTTTATGGCATTAACTCTGTTTCTCCAAGGGGGGTAAACCCGCTATGCCGGGGTCCTTTTTTGGTACTAAAACTAAAAATGACAAAATACGTGATGCAACTTGTCAACATTAAATCAAAACAAGTGAATTTTTTTATAGTTCTTCATGATCTAATGAATGAAACCCCAGTAAAAGAAACCTGTTTTCGGAAATGCCGAAAAGCAATTTGAGGTCGAAGTCCAGGGTCAACATCTACAACACACTTTTGTCTTTTGGTATGTGCACCTAAATCTGTATCAATGGGAAATCTGAACGCATACTGCAAGGCAATTATATCACATTATCAGTGGAAAAGACTACGACGAAAGTGTTAGCCTTTTTATTTAAGTGTTTATTATGTATCTTGAGGAATACATCTAGAATCTATGGAGCATGTTCATTTAGTGCTTAGAGTCAGTGCTAAATATTGGCATAAAACCAGAGCAACTGTCTGAAATCACTCAAAATCATGGCAGGTACTGTGACATGCCTACTGTTTTGCTTACCTACCACTCTTTGTTTTGTTCTTTTCTCTCTTAAAATTGAAGACAACTTCCCAGGTCCACCGTATCAGCTGATCCACCACAAAATATATATATGGCTATTTCACTTTTAAATCGAATCGTGCTGAACTACGCGGGTTGCCATTTTGTTTTGCCCAGAAGTTCTCGCTAATTCCACTCTCTCCCCCCCCCTCTCTCTCACTGCCCAAAGACAAAATTGCACGCTTTCAACACTTAAGAGCGCTGAGACGTTTGTTTACACTGACACTCTGGTATCACGGTGAATAGTGTACGCACACCGGGTGAGATTAGAGAGTAGCCAAAAGGCTAGCCCACTCACCCGGAGTGATTGGCCTGAGCTGATTAAGCGGTAAATGGCAAACACACACCGGGTGAAAATAGCCAGAAGATTTGCCCTCTCACCGCCTACAACTGCGCTATTCTCACCGAGGTGGCCATGCGTTGTTATGAATCTGAAGTCCCTTGGCCTTCCCAAAAATAAAAAACGGAGTGTCTACGCACATGGTAACCGGGCACCTAGCCTCAGTGTCTACGTACACGGTAACCGGCAACCGGGCACGTAATCTCAGTGTCATGTACACAGTAACCTGGCATCATGTAGCCTCAATATCTACGTACACGGTAACCAGCTACCAGGCATATGTAGTCTCAGTGTCACCGGAGACTATATAATTAAATACTCTCTGGTGCCACGTACACGGTAACCAGGCAGTTCAGAACTCCAAGTTAAGTATCTGTCATCCAGTGTTGCCTTCATCCCCACCCCTCCCCCGACTGTACCTTTAAAAAAAGGAAGTGCCTATTTGCAACGCCACGTTGCGATTAGCGCCAGTGCTAAATAAAAGGCAGCGTTGTGATTGGCGCCAGTGCTAAATAAAACGCTGTGTCGCTGTGTGTAAAATAATATCAAGCTTAATCTGCACATCGTTATCAGAAGTTCAGATGGCCGAAGTGACAGTGCGTCATAAAAAAAGGAGTCAAATCCTAGTAGGTATCAAAAAACTGAGAAAGCTTCCACAATTCAGGCAGAACTACAATATTATCATGTAGAAACGATGGCTACTAGATATCTAGATCTACATCTAGATCTAGATCTAGATCTAGTACTGGCGTTTCAAATAGTACAGGAGCTATTCAGAACGCGGCATTGCAAATAGCATGGGAGCTATTCAGAACGCGGCGTTGCAAATAGCGCTTGCCTTTAAAAAAAATCAATAAAATCTCACCCCACCCCCCTCCCCATTCCGGAGCCCTATACTTCGCAGCGCATAGACTTTGAATGAACTTTGGTGACCCCAACCGGTACTCACAATGTGATGCACATGCACAGGTTCACCGACCTGTCACGATGGCGAGCCCGACAAGACGCTTATGACTTTCTTTTTTTTTTTCAACAGCAAGTGACAGCACAGGATAAGGCAATTTTGTAGTTTCGTTCGTTAAAGTCAAACAGGGGGGTTTCAGGGGGGCTTGCCCCCCTGACCTAAAAAAAATGGCCGGCACTATTTCTCCGAACGTTCGGGAAAATAAAGCTGGGCACTATTTCTCCGAACGTTCGGGAAAATAAAGCTGGGCACTATTTCTCCGAACGTTCAGGAAAATAAAGCTGGGCACTATTTCTCCGAACACTCTGAAATATCATCCTTTCCCCCAAATTTCGGATA